ATAGTAAAAACAGAACTAGAAATGTAAGTACTGACCTTTTCAGATTGATTCGATCTGTATGGTGAAGCAAAATGAGAAAATCCAGGCAAACGAGTTTAATTATGAGATTTGGGAGTGTGAGGAAAGAGTTTAGTGAGGGTGAATGAGACTGAGTTTGAGAGAATTTGAAACCATGGAGTCTCAAAAAAGGAGAACGAGATAAAAGGTTGGGTAATGAGAATAACTTAAAGAGAAAAGTGTTTTGCAAAATGTCCTCTGTAAAGGGTATCTATAATTTATAAAATATTAATTGTTAAATTAAAAGTTTTATTTATATAGATTATATATATTAATTTTTATATTGATCTAGTAAATCTGACCAATTTATTAATTACCTAAATTTTAATAATATTAAATATATGTCAATAAATAGAGTTTTTTTTATCAAAGAGTTACAAATGTTGTATTAATTTGAAAATTTTTATATATGATTTATATAAATAAAATATTTAATTCAATAGTTATGTTTTGAAAATATTAATTATAAAGTGAGTTCTTAGACAAATTCTTAAAAAAAAAAAAATGGTAAGACTACCTACACTACACTAATCTCATAACTTAAAATTTCATGTGATAAGTATAATATTTAAAAACTTTAAAGGGAACAAAAATAATATAAAAATTAAATTTGAAGATTTTCAAAAGTTTAGGGGGAGCAGCTGCCCCCTTCCTCCATCCCTGACAATAACCATGCATGCCCGTGAAAAAAACCCATCTTTGGTGAACCTCTTCTATTTCTCAATTGTTCTGTATTTATAACCTAGGAGATCAGTCAAGGAATAAAATTAATTATTTAAAAATCACAATTGTTAAATTCACTAATAAGCAAATGCTATCTTATATCACATGTTTAAGATTTAAGTATTGAGGTTAACATATAAAAAAATTAATTTTTTTTAACACACCAGGTTGATTGATGTGGAGGTACGTCTTTAAGATTGGATGAAGAGAGATTAATCTAAAAATATGTATAAACTGACTCAAGAACATCGATTCTAACCATCCAAACTAAAATTACTTAAGAAAAATCATGAAAATTAGTTTGCTTTATGCGAAGGTAAGGAGATGAGATGCCTTGATAAATTAGGCAAAATCCTATGTTAAGCCCTTAAATTTATTTTAAAATTTTGACTAAAACTCTAAACCTTTATTAAAACAAATAAACTCCTAAACTTGATAACATGGGCAATTTAGCACTCTTTCGTTATGATGGATTTGATACTTCTTTGTACCTCACTTGTATAAATAAGGTATTGATTTGTCATTATTTGCTTGGTGGTTACTGATATTGTCTATACAAATAAAGTACAAATGAGCATCAAGTCTGCTAGAAAAAAATGATTAAATTGCTTAAATCACCAAATTTAGGGATTTATTTACTTTAATAAAAGCTTAATGATTTAATCGAAGTTCTAAAATTAGTTCAAGATTTTAACTAAGGGTTTTGCTAACAAATTATATAAATTAGACATTTCCTTTCTTCTCTATTTTTTTCCCCCTCAATACAAACCCATGGTTATTAACGAGACAACTCTATCAAACTAGCTAATTTATATGCATCTCTAGATTAATGTGTTGAACTCTTGTGTATCACATTGGGATCTGGTGCAATTTTTTTTACTAGTTAATACCACCTCCACGACCCCAACCCCCACGGCCCCACCCAAGACAAGATAATGTGCGTTGGCGTACGAATAAATCCCATCTTTGAGAGTAGCATAATTCTAAGGCATTAGTGCAAGCAAAGAAAGGAATAATATCGAGAATAAGCTTCTTATTTTTTTTTTTTTTTCTTTTATAGATCGGCAATATCAAGAATAAGTAAACTGTTTGAATACGTTTCCATCTTAGTCCTCGACGTTCAAACTTCCAATTAGATCAAGAATGAGAAAATCCTTATCCATGTGATAATTAGTAGGTTCATTGTAAACAAGAAGATCAGGCGACGATCATGGTTGTTGAAAGAACCGTATCGATGGTGAAGAAGAAGCTGGAGGATCTCGATCGCCTTCATGGCTACAACTTTCTGCTCCCAAAACTGAAAACCAAACTCAAGGAAGCCGTGGACAAGCTGCATCACATCGTCCACATGTTGCAAACTGCCGGATACCGCCAAGAGAGTTATGCGATAAAGGAGTGGACAATTGAGATTCTTCGAGCGGTGTATAATGTCGAGGACAGCATTGACACCTTTGTTCTCAGCACTACATCGTCCAAGCTACAACGAAGAAGAAACTTATGTGTACCATACGTAGTGCTTCAAGAAATTCGATTTCTTAACAAAATCGAAAAGTTCATGGAGAAGATCGATTATTGCAATACTCACGCCGGCTATTCCAGGTTGCGGACCTTACATCTGCATAACATTGGGGTGGCGGTTGGCCCCTCAAGTCAGATTTCGAGGCCTCATGAAAACAGAGATTGGCAAGAAATTTATGATTATTTCAAACATTCTTTGGAAATTGTTGGCCGTGAAAAAACCACAAATGAGGTGATGAATCGGTTAAACGGAAAAGATGAAGGCGGGCGCATCATTTGGTTGTCTTATGGAGAAGGCACCGGCAAGTCCACTTTAATCAGGTTCCATTTTTATCTGTTTTTCTTGCAAGTCAATGTAGGTTTCGTGCAATTAAGAAAAATAGTTCAAAACAGTTGGCGGACCAAAACAAATTTAAATTTCTACTATACTACTCACTCTGTCTAGAAGTTTTTTGATTTTATGTTAAGGATTGGGAATAATTTATTTTTTTACTTATATATTATTACCCCTTAAGTAAAAGAAGGGATGGCAATAGGCCTGTGCGGTTGAAGAATGCCTCTCCATCCTATGTTTGTGACCTGTGAGAATGGGGATTTTTGCAAGAATAATTGAAGAGGTAAAATTTGCCACTATCCCCATTACTCGCAGGGAATCAGTAATGTGTAATGTATATGATCTACAATTATAAATTAAATACTTAAATTTGGTTGAATTTAATAATTTATTATTATTTTCATTATATCATAGGAAAAATTCCTTGCAAAAATAGTTCTTATCCTCACTCGCAAGGAGGAATATTTTTTTTCATTCCACCCTTGCAGCAAGAATCTAGGAGAATTGCCATCCCCAGACAAAAGAGATAAAAGTTATTTGTGATATGATACATAATTAAAATTAAGAGATAAAATTAAGAGATAACAACATGGTATTTAATTATCCTTTGTAAAATTTGACAAGGTATTTGAAAATACATGGATGCATATGAATTTAATTCTAGAGAGTCAATCATAAAATGAACGTATTGTATTTAATAAAATCATTGTACATCTTTCATTTTTCAATGAAATAGACCCAAAAAGGGAAAAAGTACTTGTCTTTTTTTCACCCAGTTGCATCCAGTGCATTATCATACATTCACCTATTTGATACTATACAACGCTTCTCTTATTTTCCGCAACTCTTTTTCTGCTCATAGCTAAAAGCATAACTTGTTTAATTATTTGACTGCTTCCCGTTCAATTTCGCAACAGGTTCATTTACAATCAAGTAGAGGTAAAGAGAAAATTTGAATTGCGAGCTTGGGTTCGTGGTTCTCGAAATTCTGAGCGCAGAGAGGTACTAATTGATTTTTTTAATTTATATATTAATTTTTTTTGGGTATTTATATGTAGTATATATTTTTATCTTGATTGCATATATTGAGTAGTAATTTTCTTATTGCATTTAATCCACTTTATTTGCATTCATATTACTTGAGATTGAACCTTCTACTTTTATTAAAAAATTATTATTATTAAATTATTTAAGTTGGTATATTTATATAAAAGTGCGTAGAAACTAATATTGAATTTTTGACCTATAGCCAAAAACGCATGTAACTCTAGCACCAATCAACGCCAAACCACATGGATAGAGCTGTTCATATTTGATCCAAACTTATTGATTACTCTGACTGAAACTGACTCAATCCGATTAAAATCCAATTAAAACTAATATTAATTTGGGTTGATTTAGATTGTAAAGTTTTAGAACTAATATAAATGGTTTAATTTGTAGTTTTATTTTTAAATCGAGTGAATCGCCCGATTACAAAATAATTTAATTAAATAATATAATATTAATATAATATAATTTTAAAATCAATATAAATAGTTTGTTTTGTGGTAGTTTTTAGTAAATATATTTTTAGAATTTTTATTTTTGAATACAAAGTGTATTTTAAAATTTGCTTTCTTGTTTTACTTTTCTATGTTGTTTAGTATAATGTTTTTTTATGGTTGCAGTGTTATCAATAGCAGATAGCGGCAAATAGCGGAAAGGTCAAAATCCGCTATGATAGCGTAGCGGGTAGCGTAGCGGTCGCTATAGACAAATAGCGGGTATTTAATAAAAAAATTAAAATATAAATCTAATAATTAAAATAAAAGATAAATCTAGTAATAAAAAG